CTGTCCCGGTTCTGTCCCGGCTCTGTCCCGGCTCTGTCCCGGCTCTGTCCCGGTTCTGTCCCGGTTCTGTCCCGGTTCTGACGGCGCTGTCCCCGCAGGGTCGCTGATCCAGGTGCCGATGTCGGAGAAGGGGAAGATCACGCGGGGCCGCCTGGGCTCGCTGTCGCTGCGGAAGGAGGGCGAGCGGCAGTGCTTCCTCTTCTCCAAACACCTCATCATCTGCACCCGCGGCTCCGGGGGCAAGCTGCACCTCACCAAGGTGAGCCGGGCCCTGCTGCTGCTCCCCGCAGTTATTCCTGGGGTCCTCGTCGGAGCTGAGTATCCTGGTTCAGGTCTGCGCTTCTTCTTTCCCCCCCTTCTCTCCTGGAGCCAGTCTTAGAGCTGCAGAATTCAATATTCAACACCAACCGAGCAGACGATTTGGGGATGCAGGCATCATACAGTCACCCCAAGACATTGAGTCACGGGGGAGATGAGAAATTACACGATCTCGATAAAAGGATTTACTCTGATTTGCAGCAAAAATGTTGACAGTTTATTCTGGAAGAACCTGTAACCCCAGCCCGGGCTGTCTGTAGCACTCCCTGCTTGCTCCCTGGGCTCCTGTGTTTATTTGGGGAAGTTTGGCAGTTAATTGAGCAAGAATCTTACAGAAATTGCTTGTTACTGGCATTAAATTATCAGTTTGAAGAATTACAGTCCGTGGCAAAGAGCTGATAATTGCAACAACAGACTTTGGGAAAATTAAATTTAAAGCTCCTATTAAATAATTTATAAACAAATTAGTTGATCAGTTTGACAAGGAGAACCCAGAGATCCCAGCAGGCACAGATTTTTTTCCCCAGTGGAAGCAGGAGCTGTGTGTGTGTGTCCCCCTCCCCTGGGCTGTGTGTGCCCCCCTTGGGGACATCGACCTGTCCCCGTCCCTGGGGTGGGGGACCAGGATGGGGGAACTGCCAGGTCCTGGGGGGGTCCCAGTGCTGAACCCCGACTCCTGCCCTGGGTGGGGGTGTTCTGGGGGGGGGATCAGGGGATCCCCAGGGGCTGTACTGGGGACCCGGGAACCCCCCAGAACCCCAGTGCTGAGCCCCTGCCCCCCTGCAGAACGGGGTGATCTCCCTGATCGATTGCACGCTGGTGGAGGAGCCCGAGAGCACCGATGAGGACGGTGAGTGCTGGGGAGGAGGGAGGGTGGTTGGTCAGTGGATCCAATTCAGGTGTCAATAGACTCAGGGAATCCGTAATTGAGGTTTAATTACTTTAATTATTTACTGTGAACCAAGCAGACCCACACTTAGACAGACCTGACCTTTCTGGGGCAGCCAACGACCCACAAAAACCTGAATAAACCCCAACCCACAAAAACCTGAATAAACTCTCCTTGAAACCAAAGCCCTTGCTGGGAGAGAGGGGATGGGAAAGGCTTTCCCAATCACTCTGTGGGGTTTTTCTGTTCCAAAGCCAAAACATCAGGACAAGACATTGACCACCTGGACTTTAAGATCGTGGTGGAGCCGAAGGATTCCTCATCCTTCACCGTGATCCTCGTGGCCTCGTCCAGGCAGGAGAAGGCTGCGTGGACCAGTGACATCAGCCAGGTAGGAGCCAGCAGGGAGGGCTGGGGGGTTCTCGGGGTGAGGAGGTGACAGAGGTCCCTGCTGGGCTGTGGCATCGCTTTGGACACACAGGTGAACCCCTGGTTTGCTGTGTGCCCACTGCCCCACGCCTGGGTTTGCACCCCGGGGGCTTTCCTGGCCCCGTTGGGGTGTGGGGACCCACAGTGAGCAGGGAAATGTCAGCTCTGGACAAAGCCAAGCCCTGATCCTCCATCCTCCACCCCCGTCTCCCGCAGTGCGTGGACAACATCCGCTGCAACGGGCTGATGATGAACGCCTTCGAGGAGAACTCCAAGGTCACCGTGCCCCAGATGATCAAGTGAGTGTGGACGGGGCTGGGACACGGCTCCTGGGGCAGCCAAACCTGCCAGGAGCCCCTGGACCGCTGTGACCTCCCCGGGACTCCCGGGCCTCCCCATGCGCTCCAGGGGCTGTTCCAGCGGTGATTAGGAGCGGTGATTAGGAATTAATGAGCTGTTGTGTGTGCTGGGGAGGTGGGAATGAAGGGGAGAGTTTACAGAAAAATACCAATAGTGGAGAGGGGGTAAAAGGGCCAGAAGGGAGGGCCAGGGGCTGCTGTCCCTGTCGGTGCTGGGGTGCAAAGGCTGTGCTGGGACACGTGTGGGACCAGGGGGGCTCTTCCAGCCGCTGGGACGGGGCAGCACGGGGGTGCTCCTGCCCCATTCCCTGCTGCCAGGCAGGGGAAGGGTTTGGTGTGTGTGCACCTGGGGATGGCCCATCCACGTCCCTCTGCCTGCTGAGCACTCCTCCCATCCCAGGGTGCGGATTTCCAGGTTTTGCCCTGGCAGCATTCCCACCCCGATTTCCATGGGGACGCCCTGTACAGACAGGGCTCCTTCCTGCACCACTTCCCACGGCCTCTTGGTTTCGTTCCAGGCTGGAACCACAGATATCTTGTTTCTCTGCAGGTCTGATGCCAGCTTGTATTGTGATGATGTTGACATTAGGTTCAGTAAAACGATGAATTCCTGCAAGGTCCTGCAGATCCGCTATGCCAGCGTGGAGCGGCTGCTGGAGCGGCTGACGGACCTGCGCTTCCTGAGCATCGACTTCCTCAACACCTTCCTGCACTCCTACCGCGTCTTCACCACCGCCCTCGTGGTCCTCGACAAGCTCATCACCATCTACAAGAAGCCCATCAGTGCCATCCCTGCACGGTGAGGCTGCAGCGCTGCCCCCGGTGCCACCCCGGGGCTGTGTCACTGCTCCCCGTGAGCTGGGACAGCCCCGAGCTCTGCACGTGTCCCCCCAAGTGCTGGCCGTGGGGTGCTGGGGCTCATGTCATAGCTGGGGGGATGCCCAGTGCCACCACGGGGGGATCCCCACAGCCTCCCGGGCAGGGCAGGTGCCAGCTCGGCCTCTCCCCGTCTCTGCCAGGTCGCTGGAGCTGCTGTTTGCAAACAGCCAGAACAACAAGCTGCTCTACGGGGAGCCCCCCAAGTCCCCCCGAGCCAACCGCAAGTTCTCGTCGCCGCCGCCGCTCTCCATCTCCAAATCCTCGTCGCCCAGCCGCCGCAGGAAGCTGTCCCTCAACATCCCCATCATCACGGGCGGCAAGGCGCTGGACCTGGCGGCGCTGAGCTGCTCCTCCAACGGCTACGCCGGCGTCTACTCCTCCATGGCCCCCTTCAGCAAGACCACTCTGGACATCAACAAGCTCTACGTGTCCAGTGGCTACCCCAACAAAATCCCAGACGAAGGAGAAGCGGCCTCGGAAAAGCAGGAGGAGTCGCTGCCGGGCAAGCAGAGTGAGTCCCTGTGGGTTTGGGGGGCTCTGGAGCAGAGGGGTCAGTTTAGGTGCATGCACAGAGAGCTCCTGCCTCCTGAGACCTCAGTGATTTTTAATAACAAAACCAAAAAAATCACTCAAACCCCCCCACTTCAAAAAAAAAAACAAACCTCTTCCAAAATATCACACAGAAACAGCAGAACTCTGTACTCCTCCTGCGCATGGTGGCTGCATCCAGAGCTGGAATGGGGCAGACTTCAGGAAATGGGGAAGGACTAAAACGTGGCTGTATTTGTGTGTAAAGGGGTTCCCTGTTCCTCCCAGGCTCAGAGGTGTCTGTCAGGGAGGAGTCGGACACAGATCCCAACCACAGCGACGAGGCAGAAGCTGAAGCTTCCCCAACGAAATCTCCAACGACTCCCAAGTCCATCAAGTGCAAAAACTCATCAGGTAACGAGTGAGGTCTGGGGGGTGCCGGTGTAGAGGGGGGCTGGCACTGTGGGGACCTGCCCGGGCAGCAGCGGTGCCCACAGGGCTGTGGGATTTCTCCTCCCGCAGATTTCTCGCTGTTTTCCTACAACAATGGCATGGTGATGACGTCCTGCCGGGACCTGGACAGCACCCGCAGCGCCCTGTCTGCCACCTCCGCCTTCGCCATCGCCACGGCGGGGGCCAACGAGGGCACCCCCACCAAGGAGAAATACCGCAGGATGTCCCTGGCCAGCGCAGGTACCTGTCCCCAGGGACTGCCTTTGGGGACAACATTCCCACCGTTCCCAGAGGGGATTCCCTCCAGGCAGTCTCTGGATGGGAGGAGCCCTGAGCCCCCTGAACCCCCAAAACCTCCACAGCTCCCAGAGGCCCCAGAGCTCCCAGAACCTCCACAACCCACAGCTCCCAGAACCCCCAGATCCCCGACCCCCAGAGCCCCCGGAGCCCAGTGCCTGCTCCAGGCTGTGTCCTGGCAGTCTGGGATGTGCAGGTGTCCCCAGCTGTGTCACTGCCTCCCGGCACAGAGCCCAGGGGTGCTGGGGAAGGGGGGTGCTCCTCTGGCAGCCCTAGAGCAGCTCTGAGCCCTGCCTGGGGGCGCTGAGCCGTGCTAAGGGCCCGTGGCAGTTTCAGGCTTCCCGACGGACCAGCGGAACGGGGACAAGGAGTTCGTGATCCGGAGAGCAGCCACCAACCGTGTGCTGAACGTGCTGCGGCACTGGGTGTCCAAACACTCACAGGTGGGCACCTCCTGCCCTCCCCGCCACCCTGCCACCCTCCCTGCCACCACCAGGAATTCAGCTGCGTGCTGGGTGGCTCGGCCAGGACTCAGCTGGGAAGGCAGCTTGGCACTGAGGTGTTGATGAAGCAAAGGTGATGGAGTAGATGGCGAGGAGCAGGGAGCTGGGATCCCCCGGCAGGGGAGCGGGGGTCACACCCTGTGTTTGCACAGCTGGGGACCTGGAGCAGCCATCACCCCTGGCTGGGTGCAGAGGAAGAGAAATCTCTGGGTTTGGTGCTGTTGGGATGCTCAGGATGGGGTCAGGGCTGGGGCACTGGGAGCTGTCCCTGCTGTGCTGTCCCTCCCTGCATTGGTGACAGGGGCAGTGGGAGCACTGGTTGTCACTGGGAATTCCCACAGCTTTGCCAGGCCCGGTGCTGAGTGAGCTGCTGCCCTTCCTGTGCTGGGGTTTTGGGGAAGGGCAGCCCCTCGCCCAGCGGGGTGTGGGGGGCAGCTCTGCTGGGATCGGTGTCACTCCCAGCACGGCGACCCCTGCGCTGTGCTGGCCTTGGCAGGACTTTGAGACCAACGAGGAGCTGAAGTTCCGGGTGATCGGCTTCCTGGAGGAGGTCATCCACGACCCCGAGCTCCTGACCCAGGAGAGGAAAGCGGCTGCCAACATCATCAGGTGAGGGGCTGGGGGCAGGAGGGGACATTTCCTGGCACTGCCAGCTGCTGTGTCTGCTCTCACCTGGAATCTCACCTGGCATCACACAGCAGGGACTGTGCCAGGGGCTCGGGAGGGGCTGGGGAGGAAGATGAGGAGGTGGATGGGTGGTGCTGCTGCATCCAGCTCAGGACAGGGTGGCTGTGACCCACCTTGGTGCCGAGGTTGAACCCAGAGGGTGCAGGGTCCTTGCTGCTGTTGGATGTTGGGGTGGCACCGTGGGTGCTGGGGTGGCACTGTGGGTGCTGGGGTGGCACTGTGGGTGTTGGGGTGGCACCGTGGGTGTTGGGGTGGCACCGTGGGTGCTGGGGTGGCACTGTGGGTGCTGGGGTGGCACTGTGTCTCCCATGGCCAGGGGACATGTGTGGGCCCACGTGGCCTCGGCTCAGGAGTGTTTTTCTCCTGGAAATGAGCAGTGGGGCTGAGGGTGTCTCATGGAACACAGGCTGGGTGTTTGAGCCGTGCCCACCCTCGGAGCTGCCCTGCTGCAGCTGTGTGGGGCTGGTGCTGCTTTCCCAGCTGCTGTAACCCTGTCTTTCCAGGACTCTGACACAGGAGGATCCAGGAGACAACCAGATCACCCTGGAGGAGGTGGTGCAGATGGTAAATACCCCTTCCCTTGGGGTGGTGGGAGGGGAGCAGCCCAAGGTCCCTCTGCAGGGGAAAAACCTTTGGCTTGGGAGCCTGGCCTTGGTTTGGGTTTGTGTCTGGGCTGTGGGAGCTCTGACTGTGCTCCTGCCTGGTGACCCCATTGCTCCTGTGTCCCACAGGCCGAGGGGGTCAAAGCAGAGCCCTTTGAAAACCACTCAGCCCTGGAGATCGCAGAGCAGCTGACACTGCTGGATCACCTGGTCTTCAAGAAGATCCCATACGAGTGAGTGACCCCATGGCTCAGGAAAGGTGGCTCTGGTCACCCAGGGCTCACATGGCTGGGCTGACCCAGAGACTGCAAAGCCTTCCCGGGCTTTGCCAGTAGCCCAAGTGCAGATTTGAGTCCTGATCCTGTGGTTTCTCTGCTTTTTGGGATGTCCCCAAGGTAATCAGCTCAGGGAAACCCTCCCACAACCATCACACTTCCAACCACATCCATGTGGGCCCTGTCCAGCAGTGTGGGGGCAAAGACCCCGGGATCTCCACCCTGTGCAGATGCAGTGGAGCTTGCAGGGCTTGGACATCCCATAAAACTGGGAAATCGAAGTTGACCTGAGCACTGTGGTTTGCAGAGAATTCTTTGGGCAAGGCTGGATGAAGCTGGAGAAGAACGAGAGGACTCCTTACATCATGAAGAACACGAAGCACTTCAATGATGTAGGTGCAGCTGCAGGGACGGGGGGATGGCACGGGGGGATGGCACGGGGAGGGATGGCACGGGGGGATGGCAGCTCAGCCCCCCTGCGGGCTCCTATCAGCCAGGAGCACCCTTTTTTTGCTATAAAATGATAAACCTGTGACTGAAAACAGGCAGGGCTGAGGTGTGTGAGGGTCACCTGCCCCACCTGTGTGAGGGTCACCTGTCCCACGGACCCCACCTGCCCCCTGCTGCGGCTGCTGCAGCACGGGGAGATCTAAAGCCTGCAGCGTGGCCTCAGCACACGGAGCTGTGCCCAAAACCACGCCAAAGCTGGGGCTGTGTGTCCCCAAGGTCAGCAACCTGATCGCGTCCGAGATCATCCGCAACGAGGAGATCGCGGCGCGCGTCTGCGCCATCGAGAAGTGGGTGGCGGTGGCCGACATCTGCCGCTGCCTGCACAACTACAACGCCGTGCTCGAGATCACCTCGTCCCTGAACCGCAGTGCCATCTTCCGCCTCAAGAAAACCTGGCTCAAGGTCTCCAAGCAGGTACGGGAGGGAGGGAGGGGAGGGCTCCTCCTGCAGCCGGGGTTTGGTGGGGTGGGTGGTGTTTGTTGGGGTTTGGTGGGGTGGTGTTGGGGTTTGTTGGGGTTTGGTGGGGTGGGTGGTGTTTGTTGGGGTTTGGTGGGGTGGTGTTGGGGTTTGTTTGTTGGGGTTTGGTGTGGTGGTGGTGTTGGGAGTTTTCTGGGGTGGTGTTGGAGTGGGAGGAAGAGTTAGAGAATGCAGAAAGGTGTTTCGGGTTGTTCTCAGGAGGGAGGTGGTGTGGGACAGGCAGGCCCTGCCTTGGAGTCGGGTTTATTCACGGGATCACGGGATGATTTGGGTTAGAAAAGCTCTCAGACCGTGCAAGTCCAGCTGCGCCCTCAGCACTGCCCAGGCCACCACTCACCCGTGTCCCCAAGTGCCACATCCACATATCTGCCCAACCAGTGACTCCACCACTGCCCTGAGCTGGACAGCCCTTCAGAAACGTTCCCAATATCCAATGTAAACCTCTCCTGGCACAGCTCTTTTCCCCTTGCCCCATCATTTGTTCCCTGTGAGAAGACCCTGGCCCCAGCCTGCGGGTCAGGTGTGCAGGTAAACCTTTCCAGAGAGCCCCTGCAGCTGCACACACACACACACACACACACACACACACACACACACAGACTCTCTGTGGTTTTCTGGGCTCCTCAGGCCCGTTTTGGATGAATTGATGAATTCCTGTTTGAGGTACAGGAGGAGCTGGCTCTTACTGGTGCAGAGGCAGACAGAGCTGGGCTGGCACCACTGCAGGCTCCTGTCAGCCAGGAACAGTAATTTTTGCTATAAAATGATAAACCTGTGAATAAAAACAGGCTCTGGTGAGGGCAGAGTGGGAGCAGGGGGAGGCAGTGAGTGCACAGACTGCTCAGCAGCAGCCAGGTGTGACAGGCAGGTGTGACAGGCAGGTGTGGCACAGCTGTACCTGTGCAGGTGTGGGCACAGCCCAGGGTGATGTGTCCTGGGCAGGGTGGCTCTTCAGGCTCTTCAGGCTGCACCCCTGGCTGCAGGGAGTGGGGGTTCACCCAGGGCCCCCCAGCAGCAGTTTTTGGTTTTTTTTGCAGACCAAGGCTCTGATTGATAAGCTCCAGAAGCTGGTGTCGTCGGAGGGCAGGTTCAAGAACCTGAGGGAGGCACTGAAAAAGTGAGTGAGTGGTGCTGCTCCTCCTCTCCACGGCTGCTCCTGGCTGCTGTGGGGCCTGAGCTCTGCTCCCAGCATCATTCTGCACTGAAGGCTGTCCTGTTGAGCCAGCACAGGGATCCCCACGACTGAGCTGCTCCTTTGGGCAGCAAAGGGAATAGAAGGGACTGCAAGGGGAAAAATCACTGCCAGACACCAGAGAACAATTTTCCTCATGGCTATCACAGAATCATCAAATCCCAAAATGGTTTGGGTTGGAAGGGACCTTAAAGCTCATCACATTCCACACCTCTCCGTGGGCAAGGCTCCCTTCCACTGGAGCAGGTTGCCCATGGAAGATTCTGAAGGTCAAAGCTGCCCTCAGCTCATCTCCTGCACCCTTGGCTTTGTGAGGGGCACAGCCACAGCTCCTGCTTGTCCTGCTGTGCTGCTGGGGACGAGGCCCAGCAGCCTTCCCTGGGAGAGCCTTCCTGTATTAGAGAGAATCCTCCCAGTTCTGCTGCCTGCAGAATTTTCCCCTGCCCTGCCCCAAGCCCCAAGGTGAGAAACTTTGATTCGTCATTTCTTTCTGGTTTGCTCCTGCAGTTGTGACCCTCCGTGTGTCCCCTACCTGGGCATGTACCTGACAGACCTGGCGTTCATCGAGGAGGGCACCCCAAACTACACTGAGGATGGCCTGGTGAACTTCTCCAAAATGAGGATGGTGAGTGCTCCAGGGGGCCAGGCTGGGTGATGTGGTTGTGGCCAGGTCTGTGTCCCCTCAGCCTTCACCTGCGCAGCACCAGGAGGCCACATGTGTCCCCTGCACACACCTGGGATTGTTCCTAATGTCTGGAAGAGACACAAAGGCCTTTGCACGGTGCTGTGCTGGGTGCCCCTGCCCTCCTGGGCGCTGGGACGGGTTCCCTGGGTGAGCACCTGCTGTGTTTTATCCCTGCACAGATCTCACACATCATAAGGGAGATCCGCCAGTTCCAGCAAACCTCCTACAAGATCGAGCACCAGCCGAAGGTACAGCGCTGTCCCCAGGGCCAGGGGCACGCTCTGCTCCCCACCTCCCTCTTCCATCACAGCACCCAAGCCTCCAGCAGCTGTCAGCTCCGTGCTGGAGTCTGCTGGCAGAGGGGCAGGGGATGGAGGGAGGCTCTGGGGATGGAGGGAGGCTCTGGGGCTCCAGCAGAGGATTTGCTGCAGAGAGCAGCTTTGATGGACAGGCTAACAAACATCTATTCAGGGGCAGCTGGCCTCTGCCTCATGCTGGCCGCCAGCATGGGGTGAGCTGCAAGGGCTCAGGCACCCTCTGTGGCGTGTGCCCCGTCTGCCAGGCTTTGTGTGCCCGGCTCCCGGGGCTCTGTGCCCTCCCAGCCCGCTGCCAGCCCGCTCCATCCCGTCCCCAGGTGACGCAGTACCTGCTGGACCAGTCGTGTGTGATGGACGAGGAGAGCCTTTACGAAGCTTCTCTGCGAATAGAGCCCAAGCTGCCTTCCTGAGCGCGGCGTGGCCGCCTGTACATCGCGATCCCACCCTGTACATCGCGATCCCACCCTGTACATAGCCATGGACGCCCTGGAGTGACTCCCAGTCTGTGCTTCTCCGAGCCACCCGCCCCCGCCCCAGCCCGCGCTGCGCCTCGCCTCGGATCCCCCGCCCCGCTAAGGGTTAACGCATCCACACTTCGCTGGAGCCCCGGGTTCTTTTCGATGATGTTACTTTTGTCATTTGTCCCTCCTGGGGGGCTGGTGGTCGGGCAGGTGAGCCCTGTGTCCCCATGGGCCAGGTGAGCCCTGTGTCCCAGGTGAGCCCTGTGTCCCCGTGGGCCAGGTGAGCCCTGTGTCCCAGGTGAGCCCTGTGTCCCCGTGGGCCAGGTGAGCCCTGTGTCCCAGGTGAGCCCTGTGTCCCAGGTGAGTCCCTGTGTCCCAGGTGAGCCCTGTGTCCCCGCGGGGCTCTGGGGCAGCACAGAGCAGCTCTCACTCGGGCAGTGCTGGCGGTGCCATCCCACGGCAGACTCTGTAAGGTGGCAGAAGGGAACACATTAAAGGTTGTCCCTCGGTGTGAGCTGCCCTCTGTGTGTGTGCCACCCTCGTGCTGGCCGGGCACGGGGGGCCCCGGCTGCTGCCCTGCTCCCTCCCAAGTCGGGAAGATGGAAAGATGGAAGCATCCCCTGGCCTCTCCTCGCTGCATCCAGCTCCTGTTGATATGCTGTAGATCCGTACCCTTGTGCCCACTCTGAGTACCATGACGTAGAGTTAGAGATGACGAGTGTTTTTATTACATCTACTGTAATCCTGGCTAACCACCCGCTAGCAGGATATAGTAATGTAGTGCTTATTCTGTGAATAGTACCTGGGTTTTTTACATTGTACAGTCCCTGACAGTTCCCCGGCAGTGGCAGGCATGCTCCACTCACACAACACTTGCTGTAAGCAATACCTCGTGGTATGGGAATTCTCTTTCAAGCCCTAAAACTATTTCAACTTACAGCTTGTTTGGGAGAAAAAAAAAAAAAGATAATATTTCCATTTTTTTTGTAAAAATATATGTTTCCTGATTACCTCTTGCTAATAAATCTATTCTATCTCAGGGTGAACCGGGGTTTGTGATAGTTTTACCGGCGGGAGAACGCCGGGCCCGGGCCACGCCCACTGCCGGTGCCACGCCCATTGCCACGCCCAGTCCCGGTGCCACCGATGCCCCGCCCACCACACGCCCCGCCCATTGCCTTGACCCGCCCATTTCCCCGCCCACTGATTGTCCCGCCCCCTGGCAGAGACTCGGCCCAGTTCGGCTCCGTTCGGCTCCGCTCCGTCCCGGTTCGGCTCGGCCCGGCCCGGCCATGCGCTGGCCCGTGCTGCTGGCCGCGGCCGCGCTGCTGGCCCCCGCCGCCGCCTGGGAGCCCTCGGCCGAAGGTACAGGGGCACCGGGAGGGCAGCGGGGACTTGGCACGGCCTGGCCTGGGCCGGCTCGGTTCGGGCCCGGTTCGGTCCCGGTCCCGCTCTGTTCGGGCCCGGTCCGGCTCGGTCCCTTTCGGTTCGAGCCCGGCTCGGTTCGGGCCCGGTTCGGTCTCGGTTCCGCTCAGTTCGGGCCCCGTTCGGTCTCGGTCCCGCTCGGTTCGGGCCCGGTCCGGCTCAGTCCCGCTCGATTCGGGCCCAGTTCGGTCTCGCTCGCTTCGGGCTCGGCTCGGCCCCGGTCCCGCTCGGTTCGGGCCCCCGGCAGAGCTGACGGCCCGGTTCTGTCCCGCAGAGGAGCAGCTGTTCAAGGCCTGGATGGTGCAGGTGAGCTCGGGGGGAGCCGGGCCGGGCCGGGTGCCGGGGTTCGGGGTGCCCTGAGCCGCCGTGTCCCCGCAGAACCAGCGGCGGTACGGCCCGCACGAGTACCCGCGCCGGCTGCGCATCTTCCTGGACAACAAGCGGCGCATCGAGGAGCACAACGCGGGCAACCACAGCTTCCAGAGTAGGAGCCCCGACCCTGCTGGCCACGGCCCGTGCCGGCTCTGAGCCCCGAGCCCCGCTGAGCAATGTCCCCTTTGTCCCCTTTAGTGGGCCTGAACCAGTTCTCGGATCTGACGTTCGCGGAGTTTAAAAAGCTGTACCTGTGGAGCGAGCCCCAGGTGAGTGCTGGGGGTGCAGGTGGGCAGGGAGGGGGGTCCGGCTGGATCCCCCCTGTCACTGGGGCTCTGCAGCACCCATGGCTGGGCCAGCACCCATGGCTGTGCTGCTTTGCTAAGATCACGTCCTGTGCCACCAGCACCAGGTAAGAGCCAGGTGAGCCCTGTCCCTACCCCACAGCTTTCAGCGGCCTCCAGCTGAGCCGAGCTGGCCCTTCTGCTGCCAGCTGGGCACTGCAGCCAGGGCTGCAGGCTGGCACTGCCCTCCAGGGCTCCCTGCTGCAGTGGTCAGTGTGTGTGGGCTGGTCAGCACTCCCTCACCCTGCGAGTGTGGCTGGCGTGGGCCACTGGCTGGGTGGCCAGCTCTCCACAGCCTTCCTGCCTCGCTTGCAGAACTGCTCAGCCACCAAGGGGAGCTTCCTGCGCAGCTCTGGGCCCTATCCCGACTCCATCGACTGGAGAAAGAAGGGAAATTTCGTGACACCCGTGAAGAACCAGGTGGGGAGAGGGTGACACGGGCGGGGGGGGGGCTGGTGGTGACAAGCCCGGGGAGGGGCTGGTGGCTGTGGGCAGGTGCTGTGCCCCACGAGCAGTGCTGGGTGCCTGTGCCATGGGGAGCTCCCCAGAGCCCCTCTGTGCCCAGCTGCCCGCAGGGAGTGGAGGCTCTGCAGTGCTGCCAGGCCCCTCTGCCCCGGGGTTTTGGGGAGGCTGGTGAGCTGCAGCACCTCCCAGAGCAGTTCCTCTCCTGTTCCTCGTGCAGGGTCCCTGTGGGAGCTGCTGGACCTTTTCCACCACGGGCTGTTTGGAGTCTGCTATTGCCATTGCCACGGGAAAGCTGCTCTCTCTGGTAAGGGATTTTCTTGGGCTTGGGCAGAGCCCTTTTGGGAGCAGGAAGGAGCCTGAGGGGCTGGAGGCTGCTGGGAGCAGGCATGGGGCCCCTCACTGCAGGCAGCACATTGGGACATACTGATTTTTCAGCTCCCAGGGGATTTATATTCCTGAAGAACTAGAAAGACAGTAGCCGCTTACACAACTTAACAGAATAACTGAGGGCTGGGTGTGTTAAAAACAAACCTGACCTTTGGAAGACATTTCAGCCAGTCCTTCTGGGGAGCAGGGATGGATTCCTGGCAGGGGTGAGGAGGAATGCCTCTGGCAGCCAGGGCACCCCAGGCTGCTGGCCCCAGGTCTGCCTTGTCTGCCTCCCTGGGACATGGAACCACTTCCAGGTGACTCCTGGTGGGTGAGCATGGCTAAACCAGCGCTGTGCTGGTTGTACAGCCAGCTCCACAGATAGACCAGCTCTCAGTTCCTGCTGTGGGGTTGCTTTTTGTGTCACTGACTCTGAACGCAGGTGTGGGACAAGCCCTGACTCAGACCCTTCTCTGCAGGCTGAGCAGCAGTTGGTTGATTGTGCCCAGGCCTTCAACAACCATGGCTGCAGTGGGTAAGTCAGAGAGGGTCACAACAGAAATTAGAGAATGTTACATCCTGTGATGGACAGCTTTCCTCAAGATGTGCCTTCCACATAATGGAATGGCTTTTGTCTTCCCTTGGCTGCAACGTGTGAGGGAGAGCAACTTTGGATTTGGTTGTATATTTGATTTCACCCTCCCTAGAAGTTGGGATGTTTCAGCAAATCTCCAGCGTTTCCCAACCTCTGTTATTCCTCATTTGTTAGTTTTAACCTGAGACGTTTTTCACACGGCAGCCGTGGGCTGGGCTCTGAGCTTTGGGACAGTGAGGGGGATTCTGGCTGTTGTTCTGCCCCTGAGTCATGTGCATCTCGTGAAGAACCCACAGAAACCTTAGCTTCCCCTTTGGGGAATTCCTCCTGCCTTTGCTAGAGAAGGCAGAGAGCTGAGTTTTCTGTCAACTTCTGTTTTCTGTGAGATAAGTCGTCCTAGAGGGACGCTCAGAGCTGAGCAAAGCCACTCTTGGTGCTTTTTATTTTTTTGTGACTCCTCCTTAGGCGTTTCCACATCAGCTCTCCCTGATCATCTCTCTTTTCTTGCCTCCTGAGATGTGCTTCTGGAAGGTGGCCAGGGAAGGGAGCAGCTGCTTGCTGCAGATGTGGATCTCTCAAAGTCCCCCAGCCAGGCTGGGCAGAGGGCACCAAAATCCCCTTTCAGCATGTGAGGCTGGTGCTGTGTGTGGCAGCTGCCCTCACACATCAGGGCTCCTGTGTTCTTCTCCAGGGGTCTGGCACCTGGGGAATGAGGTGTGACCGTGCCAGGCAGTGTGGTGGGCCAGGCAGGGACAGACTGGAGTTTGTGCTTTTGGAGGCTCTGGGATGGGCACTGCCCTTCCCTGTCGGCCTGGCTGGTGGGACTGCTTTGCAGAGGGGCAGTGTTGATGGCTTTGCTCTGCAGGAGCTGCAGTGCTACCGTCCAAACTCACCACTGCCATCCTGATTGACTGTTGCCATCCTAACTGAGCCGTGTTGTCTCGCAGGGGCCTGCCCAGCCAAGCCTTCGAGTACATCCTGTACAACAAGGGGCTCATGGGGGAGGACACGTACCCCTACAGGGCCAAGGTACTCCCAGCACAGCCCTGGCCATCGTGGCACAGCACAGCCTGGCACAGCACAGCCTGGCACAGGCTCCAGCAGCTCCTCTCTGTCCCCACAGAATGGCACCTGCAAGTTCCAGCCAGACAAGGCCATTGCCTTTGTCAAGGACGTTATCAATATCACACAGGTGAGTTCCTGAGGGCTCCTTCCCAAACTTCCAGAGAGCCAAGGGAAGGTGCTGGGATGCCCAAGGCGTGCTGGGCTCAGCAGCTGGAGCTGCTCCTGGAGACAGCGAGCTGCTGGCACACTCCTGCTCTCCTGAACACCTTTTGCAAGGTGGCACCAGGGAGGTGCTGGAGCCAAAATCCAGGCCCTGGGTTTCTGCCTGCTTCCCACAGTGGGTGCACCTGCAGGCTGAAACAGAGTCCTGGTTCTCATCTTACTCAGCACTTGATTCCTTGTCTGTGTGCAGGAAGCCAGGGTTAGCCACCCCCCTGCCCTGGCTGCTGGTCCTGCACTGGTCCCAGCACAGCCAGGGGATGATGGATGACCCTGGGTCCTCTCTTGCAGTACGATGAGGATTCCATGGTGGAAGCCGTAGGGAAGCACAACCCAGTGAGTTTTGCCTTTGAGGTGACAAGTGACTTCATGCACTACAGGAAAGGAGTGTATTCCAAGTGAGTGTGGACCTGCTTTGGTGAGGTGAGGGCAAGGGGAACGTGTGGGGCTGGAGTCTCAGGCATCCCTGTTTGTCCTGCTGGGTGCAGGAACACTGCCCTGCATTCCCACACTTCCTTGAAGTGATCAGTACCCTCTGGAAAGGTGAGAGCTGAGTGAGGCAGCACAGGTGCTGTTAGCCCAGCAAGGGGGAAGGTGCATGTCTGGAGAAACAGAAAATTGCTGTGGAGTAATGAACCCTCAGTCACGTAGAACTGCAGGGAAAATGCAAGGGAGAGCCTGAGGGATCTGCCCCAAGGAGCTCTCGGGTGATTCCAGTGGCTTTGCTGGACCAATAGCCAGTGATGCCAGAGGTGAGTGCCAGCCCTGGGCAGGTGTGAGCTGTGAGGGCAGGGACATAGTCAGAGGAGCACACCAGGAGCAGTTATCCCATGGATTTGCAGTCGGAGGTGGATTTTAAAGTCAGAGTGCTTGGAATAATTGATACTCCGGAGCTTTCAGCCCAGAGCAGCTGTTAACAGATTGAAAAAAAAAAGAAAATCTGAGGTGGATTATTGATCTTTTCCTGTGCTGCAGTTTGAAAATGTTTAAAAATAGATGCTCTTGAGGTGGGAGCATGTACCATGAGCTGTCTTGTATCATACCACAAGCAGCAGCTTTCAGCAAGTGCATTTTAAAGGCTGAAAATTGAGAGGAAACACGTCTTTAGACCCAAGAGCTTGCTGTTCCTGTGCAAAACATGAAACAGTGCCCTTGAATTTCAGGGCAGTACAAACCAGCACTGGGGGGCACTAAGAGCTGCTGGTTTCAGCTGGGAAAATTCCTTTGCACTGTAGCTCAGAAGTCCGTGGATTCCCTAACTCCAGATAGGGCTGGTAATTCCAGAGTGGAAAAGCAGAGCAGTGTCTCCTTTCCATGGCTTCCCTCCCTACCCTCCACAGCTGGGAGTTCAGAGCACCCCAAAGTTCTGTTAGCAGAGTGTGGTCAGGACTGCTGGCTTGGCTAATCCCTGCCTAATTACAGGCTGCTTTTCAGGCTAATTACAGGCTGCTTCTGATCAGTGTTATCTCCCCTGCAGCCCCCGCTGTGAGCACACCCCTGACAAGGTGAACCACGCCGTGCTGGCCGTGGGCTATGGGGAGGAGGACGGGACTCCTCACTGGATCGTCAAGAACTCCTGGGGCCGGCTGTGGGGCATGCAGGGGTAAGGGGGTCCTGCTGCCCACCACGCCCTGCCTGGGCCTGGGGAGAGACCCACGGGCTGGGATCCCACCCACCCTCAGCCCCAGGCCACCCTCACGCTCTCCAGCTGCAATTTGGGAAGAAACACAGGGAATCGTCCCAGTCTGGGTGGTGACGTGGCTGACCCAGCCAGTCCTGGGTTTCACTGGTCAGCCCTGGAGGTGCCCAGGGCTCCTCTCTCCTGCTCACACAGCCAGGGGAGAGCAGGTTGTGCCAGGAGTGTTTCCATCTTTGCAGGTGTTTGCAGGTGAAATTCTTGGGGGTGAGATGCTAATTCTCATTTGGGGTGTAAGGGGGCAGGGAATGGCACTTCCTGGAGAGCTGAGTGGGGGAGGGACCTTAAACCCCCTCCAGTCCACCCCTGCCATGGCAGGGACACCTCCCACTGTCCAAATGTCCAGCCTGGCCCTGGGCACTGCCAGGGATGCAGGGCCTGCCCACCCTTCTGTGCCATGCTGGCTCTGCTCACACCCATTTCTCTCTCTTTTAGGTATTTCCTCATTGAACGAGGCAAGAACATGTGTGGTCTGGCTGCTTGTGCCTCCTACCCTGTTCCTCAGGTGTAGGAGCACGGCCAGGCTGGGGCCAGGGCTGGAGTCACTGAAGGAGTTCCAGTGGCTGAGTGTGGATGGAGGACAGGCAGAGCAGGGTGCCACACCCCCTGAGAGGTGTTACCTGCAGAAAGGTGTTACCTGTGTTACCTGCAGAAAGGTGTTACCTGTGTTACCTGCAGAAAGGTGTTACCTGCAGGCACATTCCTTGGCTTGCACACACCTCCTGCAGCAGCACGACCTGACCTGCTCTCTCCAGCCAAACCCTCATGTACTCCTGTGCCCTGCCAGGTTCCCTCCTCCTGCTGTGCCCCCATCCACCTGTCCCGACCCGGGGGGTGGCAGCAGGGAAACCACACACGTACCGAGTTAGGGAACACAGAGCTCCCCCCTGTCCTTTGGGTGGCTTTTTTGCAATCACCATGTGTAAATTTTAGCGGTTTTTTTGAAGGCAATTTCCCCGTTCTTTAAATGAAGGATGAGTGAGTGCTGTGATTTTTACACTTTTGTCAATTTTCATGAACTGCCTGCTATTTTTTGTATTAAAAATCAGGGTATTTTAATGCATAGAGAAGAAACAAGTGATTTTTCTTTAAAAATCAGCGACGACGCGAGTACCTCGGTGCCGATTCTGAGCAGGCACTGGGGAAACGAAGCCGCGTGTGAGCAGGGGCACGTCTGTGTTGTTTCACAGAAATCTGTCAGTGGCAATAAATCTGCCTCGTCCCCGGAGCGCTGTGCTGTGAGCTCTGAGCAGGGGCGGCTGAAGCGCTCCGAGCTCCCGGAGCGGCTGGGGATTGTGCGAAGCGCCGAATGCGGCTCGGGGGGGCGGAGTGGGGAGCGGGGTGAAGGCGGGGCCGGGGCCGGGGAGGGACCAGGCCCGGCCCGAGGGCGGTGCCGCCATTTCCGGGAGCATTTCCGCTTCCCGCTCCGTGGTGTCCGCCCCTTATACGTCACTTCCGCTGTCCCCCCCATCCAATGGGAGCCAGGGCCTCGCTTTGGCGCCGAATGCGAAGCGCGGGCGGGAGGCGGCGGAGCGCGCCCCCTGGCGGCGGGGCAGCCCCGCGATGGCGGCCGTGCCGCAGAACAACCTGCGGGAGCAGCTGAGGCGGCACTCGGCCCGCGGAGCCCTGCGCGCCCCGGCACCGCCGCGGGACCGCCCGCCGTGAGTACCGGCCCTGGGGAGCGGGGCAGGGCGGCCGCGGCACCCGGGAGCTGACGGGGGCTCGTCTCATTGCAGGGGCTTCACCTTCAAGAAGGCGCCCCGGGGCCTGGCGGCCGCCTCGGTGCTGAGGGACAAGGACGTGAACACTTCGCTGGTCCTGCCCTCCTCGGCTCCGCCGGACGGAAAAGCGCCGGTGTGGGGCTGCGTTCCGGCCCGCAGCCCCAGCCCGCAGCCCGCCTGTGCCCCCCCGGGCCCCGCCGGGCCGGCCAAGGGCTCCGCGGCTCGCAGGGCGAGCGCTGCTCCCGCCGGCAAGGCCGGGCCCGGTGCCGCTCCCGCCGCCGGCCCCCTTATCACCATCGGCGACGAGTGGGATGACATCGACGACTTTGACCTGTCGGGAATCGAGAAGAAGTTCTCTCGGCCGCCCTTGGTGTCCCCCAAGGGGCTGCGAGCCCCCCGCAAGGAGCCCCCGCGGCCGAGCCCCCCGCCCGGCTCTCCCGAGCAGCGCCCCGGCTCGCAGGGCTCCGTGATCTGCATCGAGGACTCGGCCCCGTGCGGCGGCGGCGACGCGGCTGCGGCGATCGGCCCGGAGTCACCGGCTGAGCCCCGGCGGGACGCGGGCAGCGCAGGTACCGGGCTGTGTGCAGGTACACACACCTGAGCTGGGCTGCAGTGAAACACAAACCTGTGTGTGCACGCAGGGGCTGGGCTGGAGTCACCCCCTGTGCAGCGCAGGTACCGGGCTGTGTGCACGTACACACACCTGGGCTGCACAGGTTTGTGTTTGCACCCAGGGGCTGGGCTGGAGTCAAACGGAGCTGCGGGCTCGGGGCTGGCATGCAGCCCTGGGCTCATTTAGGTCCCGGGATTCCCTTTCTGGGTACCCCAGCCTGGGAGCAGGGCAGTGTTCTGCTGGGGCAGGAGTAGCAGCTGCTCCTGCACTGGAGTCACAGAACTTCCCACACGACATTCCTGAAATGATCAATAATCTACAGGGATGTTATGGAGAGAAAAGCGTTTAGAAAATTCATACAGGAGAGATATAAAGCCATCTTACACCTAAATGAAATGTTAAACCAGAAAAAGTGATCTCTCTCCCTTTTTAACACAAACATAATAAGCACCACAAAAGAACTCCAACCCTCAATTATGATCACAAAATTCCTGCTTTTCTTTGTAGGATTTGTCTTTTAAGACACAATACATGTACATTTACCTTCCAGTTCCAGTACAGGGACAGTGCCAGCTGATGAGTCTGCATTCTTTTAAGACTAGGATTTAATATAATAGAAGCTTTTTATAGGAATAGGATTTTATATAAATACTTTTTATAGAAAACTATTGCAGAAAAATAGACCTCTTCAGTGTTTCACTTCTTCCAGGACAGGTTTAGCTGCATCACTTTTCCACTTAAATGAGGGTTTGTGAGGATTCTTCAATCTATTTTTAATGAGGGGAGAAAGGGAGCAGTAAGATTTATCCTTTAAAAGTCAGAAACTATATCAAACGAGTGTTTTGAGATCTGGCTGCTATTTTCCCCCCCTCTGTTTGTGGCAGGCTGGGTGTGCAGTGTTGCAATATCAATGCACTTCTCTTGCAGCTGCTGAAGGGGCTCAGAGCCAGGAGCTGCAGGGGCCTGGGAACAGCCCCCCAGAACTGGATGAGGCCACCTGGCCACTGGCAGGTGCTGAGCTCGAGGAGGATGACCTGGACATCATCCCTCCCTCCCCTGAGGAGGAGCTGCCTCCCTTCTCCCCCTCTGTACACAGTGCCAGGTAATCAGAGCTCACTGCTGAAAGAATAGAAAAGTACCAAAACCCACCCAAAATTCCTGCTTGTGAGAAAGGTCCAGGCTGTGTCCCTTTGCTGCTTGGCAGGTTAATGCTTAATGACTGGCAGCTGCAATGAAGGCTTTATCAAATACTGATTTTATGGCTGATGCCTTAGGTGGCTTTCACTTCAGAAAAAAGCAGAGTTACTTTTGTAGTGGGATGGGGGAAAATTACTGGGGCAAGATCCCACACATTGGTACACAGGATGAATGACTACTTTTGGGTTCTACCTCCAGGAATTTATTTTCCACCCATCCTAAACCCCACTGTTCTCTGGAAATGCCTTGGTTTACAGATACCTGTACTCTCATGGCTTTTTCTTTTGCTGTTAGCAGTGTTTTCAGAGACTCTCCCACTGGTGGAAGATGCTCAGCTGGCAGCTCTGAGGCCAAGCAGGAGAAGGTTCCCCCAACACATCCTGCAGGGGATCCCAGTGCAGGGGATTCAGGTACACAAAATGCTTTGGAATTGCATATCTCTGATTTTGGGGATAGTTTGCAACTATTTGTTATCTTGTGTAATCCAAGAGCATTAACTGGCAGATGGAGAATTAACATCTGTAGATGGAGAGTTGACATAAATCACTGGATTATTGACACATAATAAAATACAAGGGCAAAAATACGTAGGTTCGTTGAGTTCCTGCACACAGCAACAGATTCTTTATGCAAATGGACTAAAAATACATTGGGAATAAATTGTTTAGAGGGATTTACTGCAAGGTACTGTCCTCTGGGAGAGTGGTATCCTCATGACAGCTATTGTGCTGGGAATGACAGTGCTGAACTCCCTCCCCGTGCCAGGTGTGCCAGGTGAGGCCGTGCCAGGTGAGGCCGTGCCCGTGGCCCCGCAGCTGTTCCGAGCCATGGAAGCCATCTGTGAGCTGGTGGATGCCATCCCCCTGCAGGAGCTGCAGGCCCTGGGCTGTGCCAGAGCCCTGCTGCAGCACAGGGACCTCAGGTAGGCTGGAGCAGGCAGCTGCCTGCAGGTGTCCCCAGCACACTGCAGAACCGGGCAGGAGGGAATTAAAAAGCTGGAATTACTGGCTGAGGGAGGCAACAAAATCGCCCAAAGTGCTGCAGGCGTCAGCAGTCCCTGTGTGTTGGATCCCAGAAATTTGGAGTTTTTGAGCTCTCTGTGCTTTCAGGCACAGACCCCCTGGAAAACTCTGCTCTGGACCTGAGGCCTTGGAGATGGCTTCTAAATATGAGTGGTGGAGTAGAAATCACGGGTGTGTAGTGAATTAGAAGTGTGTGCTTTCACAGGGTGATGGCTTTTTCAATTTGGGATTTTTATAGTATAGTGATAGATATGGGACAAGATGGAGATTTTTGGGCGTTGTCTCTTTCTTTTTTCATCTTTCTTCTTCCTTCATAAATTTCAGGTAGCAGTTTCTGGTTCAGTCAGTGTCACTCTAAGGATCAGGGGAATGTAGTTATTGGGTCAAAAGTATAAATAATATCGGTGTTAATTCTCTATTGGACTGTTTAGCCTTAAAAGACCTTATAGCAGCTGCCTCTGTGGCAGTTTTTCCTCACTTCTAGCAAGGAGCTGGAAATGCTGTCGTACTCTCTGTACTTTCTAATAAGATATAATAAATATATAAGATATAATAAACGTCCAAGCCCAAACATGAAAAAAACTGTTTAAGCTGTGTTTCTGTTAATCCTGGCTCTGAGTGAAGACAGATGAGACTGAGACAAAGCCCTAAGAGGTGGTGCAAAGCCCCTGCAGCCCTGCAGGTCAGAGGCAGAGCGAGGAGCTGCCTGGCAGCAGCAGTGCCGTGGTGTGAGCTGCCACACACATTCAGCTGGTGTTGTCTCCCCTCTGCCTGACTGCAGGGATGGTGACTTCTGCTGATAGCCCTGAACTTGTCACCTTCCAATGGAATCATTGCTGCCACAACCTGCTGCTTTGTCACCTGATGGCACAATACATGGACAAAGCACTGGGATTTGGGATTTTGGGATTTTGGTTAGATTTCTCCTGGCCTGGGACTATGAGCTTCTGTACATGTTCTCAGTACAACGACTTAACTTTATTTCTCAGTGCTGTAGTCAGACATAGTCTTTAGAAAGTACCTAAAAACATGATTTGGTTCAGGCATACTTTTAACTTCAGGTTTTGCCTCTAAGGATTTATTTTTTATATTCTACCTTGACTGGATCTGTTCCTTGCTTTTAGGAATTCTTTTATTTTGTCTGTAGAGATGATATCACAATTTTGTCATTGGTTTCTTCTGGTGGTGTTCTCTCTCCCCTAGATTTGTTTGAAATCATTTTCAAACATGGTGACTCAGAGCACGATGGAACCACCATATGTTTATATGTTTAATAGCAGTGAGACAAAACTGTTTAATGAGTGTTGTAGAACCTGGTAAATCATTACTTGTGACTAAATATAATTTTTTTCCTTTTTCCTTCCCTCTCATCTCTTCCAGGAGAAAATTGCTGGCTAACTCTAATTCTGTCAGTTTGAACCAAAATGGCACAAACACCACTTTTCCTAGAAGCTGGAAGTCTCCCACGGAGCAGAGCCCTCGTGTGTGTCCTGGTGCAGGTCCAGCTTCTGGCCCAAGCTGGAGCTTCAGTTCTGACAGAAACTCCCCCAAGCCTACAAACCTCCCATCGGTGCTTTCTGTTCATTCCAGCAGCTCTTCTGCCAGAAGAGATCAAACCTGGGACAGCCCCTGTGCCTCAAAGCAGAGTGCTGAGGAGCTGCCCTGTGCCAAGGCTTCCCTCAGGCTCAGCCTGCAGTCCTGCAGCAGCAGCTGGGACCAAAATTCAGGAACGAGGACTGGGAACCTGAGCAGCACAGCCCTGAGGGCTCAGAGCACAGCTCCCAGTGCCCTGGGGGATCACAGCACAGCTCCCAGTGCCCTGAGGGCTCAGAGCACAGCTCCCAGTGCCCTGGGGGATCACAGCACAGCTCCCAGTGCCCTGGGGGCTCAGAGCACAGCTCCCAGTGCCCTGGGGGATCAGAGCACAGCTCCCAGTGCCCTGGGGGCTCAGAGCACAGCTCCCAGTGCCCTGGGGGATCACAGCACAGCTCCCAGGGCCAGTCCTGCAAGGAGCAGCTCGGGGACAAACGATCCTGACTTGGACCTGGATCTCTTTGACATCGATGACTTTGATGAGGACTGGGAGAGCCCCGGGGCTGCTCCAGCCCTGGCCACGCCTGTCCCAGAGGGGCCTCCTGCCAAATCCCTCTTGTCCAAGATCATGTCCAGAGCCCAAGGCTCTGTGGGAGCCAGTCCTGCTGCTCCAAAGCCAGGCCTGCTGATGGCAACAAAGAACCAGCCAGGTGAATTATGCTCCTGAGGATTATTGGGTTTCTCCATTTCTGAATTCTTTTCATTGTCACCTCACACGAGAGCACCATTTGTCGAGTTTTTCATGAGTTTAGGTCTTCAAAGACACAAGAGCAGTTGTTGGTAGCTGTAAAGTTGTTTATTACAGAAGCACATCAGTCTCAAAAGCAAAGAGTCCAGAATGTTGAAGTCTGTGTTAAAGTTTTCTGGCATAGAGTCCCAAGTATTTCTTTTTAAATCTAAGGCCAAGTAACTACTACAGATCACATCAATGCCTTTTGTTTCTGTGGAAGTTTCTTTTGGTTCCTTTTTAGCAAAGTCACCTTGGTTTATTTTATTTTTTCCTCTAAATGATGCCAAACTTGAATATTCCCTTCCTGTACAGGTTCCATGCTGCTGGAGGATGAAGCTGCTAAAATTAGAAATGAGGGTGTTTCTGTGTTGTAGTTAAATAACGCTTCTGCAGTTTGTGATTCAAAGCTGTACAATGGCTTTTGCTGAAAAATGTTCCAAAATGGGTTTGTGGAAGCAGACTCGGTCCCCCTGGGGCCCAGATTGGTCAATGCCATTTCAGGTTAATGTAGGGATAGGCTGGTAAAAGGGGGGGGTGAAAATCAGAGTCACAGAATGGTTTGGGGTGGAAGGGACCTTAAATCCCACCCAGTGCCACCCCTGCCATGGCAGGGACACCTCCCACTGTCCCCAGTGTCCAGCCTGGCCTTGGGCACTGCCAGGGATCCAGGGGCAGCCAGGGCTGCTCTGGGCACCCTGTGCCAGCCCTGCCCACACACACAGGGAATCATTTCTTCTATAACTTGATGTCATAATTTATTGTAATTACATTTTGTGTCTCCCAGATCCAGTGGTTCATAACCCTGCACTGGAGCGTTTCAGGGGTATGAAATTTCCCCACTCTGCAGAAATGATGAATATATTTCACAAGAAGTTTGGGTTGCACTGTTTCAGGACAAACCAGCTGGAGGCCATCAATGCTGCTCTGCTGGGGGAGGATTGCTTCATCCTCATGCCCACAGGTACGTGGGCTACAGACCAGCAGCTCCTTTTGCAAGCCTTGGGACAAGCTTTTCTCTTCCCCTGTGTGCTGCTGGAATTCTGTGACTGCAGGATTTCAGGAGTATTGTTGCTGGGGTATTTTGAGTGAGGGGATTGAATTTCTGCCTTCCTTAATCATTCCCACAGTAACTCTTTCTTACCCTACGGGTGTCACTTTGTGACAGGCGTTGGTAGAAATGTATTGCTTCCAAAAGTGCTGTAAAATGGGAAATTAGAAACAGGTCTCCATCCCTTTTCTCTTGATGTCCAACACTTGCTGTGTGTGTCTCATGCTCACAGGAGGTGGGAAGAGCCTGTGCTACCAGCTCCCAGCCTGTGTCTCTGCTGGGGTCAGCATCGTTATTTCTCCACTGAGGTCGCTCATCATCGATCAGGTCCAGAAGCTGAAGACTTTAGATGTAAGTTCCAGCAGCTTTATTGAGTGAAACTGCAGGTAACTGGATTAGAAATCTGAAATCTTACAGCAAATCTTGTGTCTCCCGAATATAAACTGCATAAATTGATTAGCTGGACACTGTGAATGGCACAGGAAGTTGCCTGGGAAGAACTAAATTGGATGAACTCCAATATCTTGGCAGTGTGGCTGCTGGATTTATTGCTGCTCCTTGTGTTTGGTGTTAGAGCTGTGTTTTTCAGAGCAGCTGCTGGTTCTGACATCCTGAGAACTGTAATCACTCACTCACACAGGAGCAGCCTGACTGTGCAGCAGGAATGAACCCTAAGAGTTCCTGAGTTAGGGGGTTCTGGGGGTGCTGAACATCTTTGGAAACATGGCACACAGAGCAGGAATGCAGGTGCAGGAGGTCACAGGACCCCGGAATGGTTTGGGTTGGAAGGGATCCTAAATTCACCTTGTTCACCCCTCACCACGGGCAGGGACACCTTCCCCTGGCCCAGGGTGCTCAGATGTGTTCCCAAATGTGAGTTCCCAAGGCTGACTGCTTAGGAACTGCTTTGGAATGGGAGGTAGGGCTGCATTTAGAGGTTCTTCTATTCTGCATGTAATAAAACTCAATATGTATATTTATAATTGTTTAATACAGATTGCTGCAACATACCTGACTGGTGACAGGACAGATGCTGATGCCTCAAAAATCTACATGCAGTTGTCAAAGAAGGACCCTGTCATAAAGCTGCTGTATGTCACCCCTGAGAAGGTCTGCACTTATCTTCAGCTGTAAAAACATAAGGAGGGGCTATGAAGGGGGGATTGCTGTGAAGTGCTAAAAAACTGCACTCAGAGTGGGCTTTTGGGCAACAAAATCTGGGTTTTAGATAACTCATTAAGAATCTATATGGATGTAGCTAATTTCAATCAGTAATTAGCCAAGAATAAGAAATGACTATGTCTGCAAAATGTAAACTCCTAAAATAAGCTCCCAAGCCCACCTATTTCAGTCTACCTTGATACACATTAGTGTTAATCACAGTCCAGTAGCTGCTCAATCCAGACTGCCCTGAATGGGGTAAAATACAGCGTTGTCAGGGTGGTAGGAGATTGTCAGAGCCTGTCTTGGGCACCTCTGCTGCCTTAAAAATTTGTTACTGCACAAGAGCTTTGTGAGAGGGGGCTGGTTGGTGTGCTGATTGTGTTTCTCTCCTCAGCATTATTTTTCCCTCTGTTTCCTGACATAAATCATTTAAATTCACTGAAATTTCCTCGGAATGAGGGGCCCTGGGACAGGTGATGCCAGAACCTGGTGGGAATCCCACAGCAGCTGCTGGGTTAGAGCACAGCTGGCTGTGCCTTGAAGCCTCACCTGAGCAGTGCAGGGGGGATCTGCAGCCCAGCACAGTTGTTTGTGTGCTCTCAGCCAGGCCAGCTGGCACTGCCAGCCCAGGTGTTTTGCTTTCCCCTGGCACTGTGCTGTGTCCCAGGTGTGTGCCAGCAACCGCCTGATGTCTGCCCTGGAGAACCTCTACGACAGGAAACTCCTGGCACGTTTTGTCATCGACGAGGCCCACTGTGTCAGCCAGGTAAAACCTCCTCGTGTGTTTAGGGATGCCAGTGGTGCCTTGGGTTTTAGCTTTTACATTTTTCAGAATCTCTGCTGCTGAGTGTGTAACTCTGAAACTTCATATTAGGTGTTAGTGAATTCTCTTCACAGGGGAGCTGGACAAAACATTCCCATTCTAGCTAGAGAATAAAGGACCCAAAAAGCAGAAACAGCAGCGAGGGAAAGGGGGCAAACCAGGGGACTGAGACTTCATAGCCTGGGGCTGTGGTTGGATAGATAATGAACCCCAAGATGAACCAAAACTTATAAAAATGTAAAACTCATGAGCAGGATCCATGTTGGATTTGATTTGGGTGTAGCCCCAGCCCGGTTATTGCACTGCCCCAAGGTGAATCCTTTCAATCAATTCCTGTTTTACTCCTTTTGCTCTGCCTAGTCTCTGTTCCAGCTCAGCCTTTCCAGGCAGCACCAAATACTCACTTGGAGCATTTTACACTTGCATTTTTTGTTTCCCACCCAGTGGGGCCATGACTTCAGACAGGACTACAAGAGGCTGAACATGCTGCGCCGGAGGTTCCGCTCCGTGCCCATGATGGCCCTCACTGCCACTGCCAACCCCCGTGTGCAGAAGGACATCCTCAACCAGCTCGAGATGCTCAAACCACAAGTGTGAGTTGCTCAGCAGCTTTCTGAAACCCTTTGTGCCACGGAAATTTTTAGGTGGAAAACTTAGTGAAGTGAAAAAAAGCATCACAGGCCCGTCTGAAATCCTTGTGTGGCTGTATGTGATGAAGTGAAATTAAATTAAATGCATGCATAGAATTTAATGGGAAGTAGATAAAAATATTAACATAAGAAACAAAAAAAACCGTGCCAAGCCCTTCCTTGCATGATGAAGGAAGCTGTTTAACATAACATAATTATACCCATAAGGCTGACAAGCACCATGAACTGTCACATTTCAGGTTTACAATGAGCTTCAACAGGCATAACTTGAAATATGATGTGTTGCCCAAGAAGCCCAAGAAGGTGGCGATGGATTGCTTGGAATGGATTAAAAAATATCACCCCCGTGAGTACTGAGCAGCAGGGTGGCCACAGGCCTTCTCAGGAGCCACTTCTCAAGGCAGTGAAAGCTTTTATGGTGCTGTAATAATGGTACATTTACCAGAAAAGCAAGGTGGAGGTAAAGTGATATTATTGAAAATGGGAATCAGATTTATGTGCATTCTAAAGCTGAGAATTTAAGTTAAGATGGAAAAGTAAATTATGGTGATGCTTTTGAATGACCTTTCTGGAGCCTGCCAGAGCTTTTAGGATCATGTCTTCAGAGCATAAAGGTCACCCAATATCTTAATTGTTTAATTGTGTTGGTCTGCCTATCTGCAGTTCCCCTTGAAGCTATCTTCAGAGATTCCCATCTTTCCAGGCTCACTTTGGAGTCCTGCAGCTCCTGCTGCTGGAACTGGATTATACCAAGCTCCCTCAGAGCTTCTCCTATGCTGTCCCCTCAGACAGCATTTACTGAACTGCTCTAACTCTTGAATTATATAGATTTTTGTTCATGTATTCTAAATCCTCAGATTGCACATCGACGAGGAAAACATTTCTTTATTCCACCTCACCAAAGGCCTAAAAAGATTGTGTAGAAAAAACTGTCCAGACTATCTGATATTAATAAAACAAGTTCTCTAGTGAAGCAGTTCTATCTTTACTCTTATCTTTATTCCAGTGGGGAGAGGTCAGTATCTGCTTGGCAGGTTGAGCAGGGACAGGAAATAAAGCTGTATTGTAGTTCAAGCTTGTTTCCCCTGTGTTTGCAGATGACTCTGGGATCATTTACTGCCTGTCCCGGCACGAGTGTGACACCACGGCAGCCATCCTGCAGAAGGAGGGGCTGGCTGCCCTGGCCTACCATGCTGGCCTCACCGACTCCAACAGGGACCTTGTGCAGCAGAAATGGGTTAATCAGGAGGGATGCCAGGTGAGGAAAGCCGGGAGGAAAAGGGAGGAAGGTCCGGGCACTTTTATCCCTCTTGGCCTGGGAAATAATAGGGAGGTTGTGCAGTGTTATCAGCAATGTCTGCAGTATTGAGTAACTGATCCCAGCAGATCTGCTGGGGCACGGCTGCCACCTTTCACTGGGAGTTCTGTGAATAAAAGGTTGTAGCACTACCCCAGCAGGGAGGACCTGAGCAGTGCAGGGCTTCACAAACAGCTCCTGGCAGGCTGCTGTGCAGGGACTGGAATTTGGGGCTTTCCCTGTGTGTGGAGTGGCTCCTCTGACAGGAGGGGAGGTTGTTGCTGTGCTGTACTTGTTCTGCACTGTTACAGCTGAAATTCTGGGTCCTCCACGTTTCCTAATCCGGGTCACTGCTCTGCTCTCCGTGCAGGGCTGCAGGGGTGATGTCCATAGTGTGTGTCTAGAGCACGGTGCTGTCCTCCCCAGGTGATCTGTGCAACCATTGCCTTTGGAATGGGCATTGACAAACCCGACGTGCGCTACGTGATCCACGCCTCCCTCCCCAAATCCATCGAAGGTTACTACCAGGAGTCTGGCAGGGCTGGCAGGGATGGAGAGATGTCCCACTGCCTGCTCTTCTACAGCTACAGTGATGTGACCAGGCTGAGAAGGCTCATCCTGAGTGAGTTGTCCCCTGGGAACTGGGAGGTGACATTACAGCAGTCACATTGTCACTGGTCTCGTTTAGCCTGAGTTACTTCTCTTTCACAAGTGCCATGGATAGTTCAGTATTGCAGGGAGGGGAGAACTGGGAATTCTTGCCTGGATGGTTTTCATTCAGCTGGCAGGAGCAGGATTTTTGTCACTTGTACTTAATTTTAGTCAAAACCACTTTGGATCACGGAATCATGGAATTGTTAAGGTTGGAGAAACCTTTAAGATCATCAAATCCAATTGTCAGACGAACTTCACCCCCCTCTTCACCACTAAAACATGTCCTCACGTGCCACCTCCACATACTTTTTGAGCACTTCCATTCAGGGCATCCTGTGCCTGGGCTGTGCTACCCTTCCCATGAAGAAACTTCTTGATATGTAATCTAAACCTCTCCTGACACAACTTGAGGCCACTTCCTCTCATCCTGTCAGGCATACCCTTCTCTTGACTTTTGTCATTCTAGGCTTATTTCCCTTCTCCAGTTCTCTAAAACTTCAGTGATAAAAGCTGTCCAACATCTGTTCTGTACTAACCTGCTCATCTTTCTTAAGCAAAGCCAATATTGTGGGTTTTTTAAGCAGGGCCAATCTTTCTCACAGTGCATGAAAACGCAGAGATGCAGCTTTTCCAAACCATTGAATTTGCTGTGTTTCAGTGGAGAAGGATGGGAACAGCCACACGAGGCAGACCCACTTCAACAACCTGTACAGCATGGTGCACTACTGTGAGAACGTGGTCGAGTGCCGCCGTGTCCAGCTGCTTGCCTACTTCGGGGAGACCAACTTCAACCCCACCTTCTGCAAAGATCACCCAGAAGTGATTTGTGACAACTGCAGCAGGAAGAAGGTAAAGCCCACAGGTTTTATTTTGTAGTGGTGTTAAACCGAATTTGTATTTAGTTGCATCAAAAAGGGGTTACGTGACCTTTGGGAAGGCAAATGGAGAAAAAATGGAGAAAAGGAATAAAAGTCCTGTATTTTTGGGATGCTTCCAGGTATTTTCAGGGTTTAACCATGAACTTGTAATGCTCCTGTTCCTGTCAGAGGTATAACGATGTTCCTTGGGGGAGACAGGAGCTTTGATCAGATCCACTGCAGTGACTTATGGGGAAATCCCTTCAGCTCCTGCCCTGGTTTTTATGGGGCAGCTTTGTGCTGCCAGAGCAGCATGAGGGCCACGTTGGGTTTGCACTGCTGAAGGGGATCCAGACATTTGGGTTATGCAAACTTAGTGGCAGGAGCAGAAAGGAAGGCAGCTGTGGAGGCTGACAGGGAAGGGATCCTGATCAGTTTTGTACCTGTGGATTTTGTTTCTCAGTCCTGTGTTTGAAGCATTCCCTTATACAGCTGTGATTGAAACCAAATTTGAGCAGGATAATGCATATTCAGTCTCACTTTAATGTGTTTTCGAAGTGTAAGTTCTAGAGCGTGGCAGGATAATTACAGGAATGCTTCCCAAATGATTTACCTTGATTCCCAGTATTTACCCAGCAATCTTGCACCTCACTCTACACAAATAGCCCCAGGGAGATTATATACAGCCAGCTGGACTGGTTTTGTACTGTCACATCCAGAATCCCTGTGACTGGATCACTGTAGGTCACTAAGTGGGAAATCGTGGTTTCTGTACTTGGAACAGCTCAATTCACGGCTGGGAAAAGCTCAGTACAGAAAACTGAGGCTGTCAGTAACAGCTTGGGGGCTAGGGCAGAGGCAGGTGATGGATGGCACGTGCCAGTGAGGTGTGATTTGCCAGGATTACAGATCCAGGAACGTGACCGAGGATGTGAAGGGCATCGTGCGCTTTGTGCGCGAGCACTGCGGCCACGCGGGGCGGGCGAACGGCAGCAGGAACCCAGGCTCGGGCAGGTACACCCTCAACATGATGGTGGACATCTTCTTAGGTGAGTCTGTTCTCCCAGAAACTCCTGAATAACCTGGTGCACTAATCCCTGACCAGGGATCAAGAGGGATGTGCAGTGCCAGCGGGCCTTTAAAAAAATGTGTATTTTGTGAAGTTAATCTTCCCAAGAATCTCTTGGTGGTAAGTGATCCAAAAGAAATGAAACTGAAGAGTTAATCCATTTCAGGTTGCTATAGTGATAATATTGGCTATCCAGTGTTTAAAGGCATTTTTGAATGTGAATAGACTGCCTTGGGAATCTCCCACAGGTCTGTAAATGTGTGTACACAGGCTTTGTGAGCACGGGCTCATCCTGTGCTTTCTGTTCACAGGTTCATCGAGTGCCAAGATTCAGTCTGGCATATTTGGGAAGGGGGCTGCCTATTCCAGGCACAATGCTGAAAGGCTGTTTAGAAAACTGGTCCTGGACAGGATCCTGGATGAGGATTTGTACATCACAGCTAATGACCAGGCAGTGGCATATGTGATTCTGGGAGAGAGAGCTCAGGCTGTGCTGGATGGGTCACTCCAGGTGTGGAACTGTTCAGATTCTTGAAGGCATTGTTTTAAGGAAGGTGCTGCAGTTTTGCTTTAGCATATCCCCTCAGGTAGCTTAAACACAGTTTTCCTCCAGCTGAACTAACATATGGTAGATGCAAGGAACAGAATCCAACACGTGTGATTCCTAGCCCAGTATTCCAGTAATGATGTTGTGGGGCAAAATGTGAGTTTGAGAGGCTTGGAGAGATTTAAATCTTTCTCTCTTCCTCACCCATCTGATTCCTGCTGGACAGTGAAGGAAAGTTCTGACCCCCACTGAAAGATGGCTAAGAAGGAAAGAAGGACCAGTGCTCCCTTCTTCATTTTCTATTTTTTTTCTCTTAGTAGTTGGTGGGATCTGATGGAATAGGCACTTCGTGAAGGTCACGGAACAGTCCCAGGTTTCTTGAGGCAACACCTCCTCTTCATTAGTGCTGTGTTTGGAGCAGGACAGAGCCCTCAGCATTTTCCCAGTGACCTCTGAAGCCAGCTGGGCTCATTTCCATCTCTCTAAACTCTGCCAGCTCTTTGTAGAAGAAACTTGGGTATAGTTGAGCAGCCTGTAAAAAATTATTTCAAAATGTATACTGGGTAAACAGCTTTTTATGGTCCATCAAAGGATACTTTCTGTTTGCTGCTCTGTGTTCCTGTGTTAGCAGCCAGGGTGTGCAGGAACTCCCTGGCAGGAGTCATGGATGGCTGTTTTTACAGGTGGAGTTCCACGAGACAGAGAGTGCCAGTGCCATCAGAAGGCAAAGGGCTTCCATGGCAAAGATGTCCCAGCGGGAAGAGGTGGTTAAACAGTGCCTCAATGAACTTACAGACACCTGCAAAACCCTGGGCAAAGTCTTTGATGTGCATTACTTCAATATTTTCAGTACTTCCACCCTAAAGAAAATAGCAGGTAAGGTCAGGTTTCTCAGAAGTCCTTTGGGGCTTCTGTATGGAGAGGCATGGAAAGGAATTTATTTCTTTCAGGGTATCTTTATGAAAAGTTATTTGTTTGACATGTCTGAGGGGTGCTCTGTTATGTTGCAGAAACCTTGTCCTCGGACATGGAGGTGTTGCTGCAGATCGATGGTGTCACAGAAGACAAGCTGGAGAAATACGGTGCAGAAATCATTAAAGTGATGGATAAGTACTCAGAATGCTCCTTCCCAGGTGTGCTTTGTACCTCAGCATGTACTTCCTGTCCAGTGCCTTTCTCTCCTCCTCTAGCAGATGTTTGATTCAAAAGTTACCATGATTTAATCACAAATAACTAATTCTTTCAGTTCAGTAATTCCAAAAGGGAGCAATGACTTTCAGAACACACCAAAGTCTTTCTACCTTCCCACTAGGCTAAATTCAGGATATCTCTGAAAGTCTGGGGCTGGGGCAGTGCAGAGGAGGGGAGGAACAGCCAGGACAGATGTTTTGATAGCAGCAGTGTGTTCTGGTGTCAGTCTGGCTGATTCCCTGACTGAGTTTTCCCTCCCTGCCCGTGTGCAGAGGACGCTGCCTGCCCAGGTGTGGACACAGCCCCGGGCAGCACTGGCTCTCTGGGCAGCGATGCAGAAGCAGAGGATGCAGGTACAACCTCCAGCTATTTTGACAATAACACAAACCAGAGGAGGAAAAGGAAGCGGCCGCCAAACTCCAGGGACTCCAAGAGGAAAAAGACGAGTGCTGGTGGCAGGCAGCAGTTCCAGCCCAGGGGGTACGTGCATGGGGTCAGGACTGCTCTGCCGTGCTTTTCTGCAGGTTTGGTTTAAAAAGCTGGTGAGGAAGGATATTTAACACTTGTTCTCACACTTGACTGCCACAGGCTAAGCAGGGAACACTGCATTTCAATGTTGTGCCATAGCCAGCTTTAGCAGGCTCACCAGGATCCTTGCTTGAGATCATAAAGGGGTCTTAAAACTTTGAACATTTGATGGAATATTTGAACTTCAGCCCCTTGTTAATTCAGATTCTCTCTCTGATTGTATTATGTAAGGGAACACCTGCATCTGCTCTTGGTTGGTCTTGAGCTTTTAGGGCAGATCTGCCCCTTCCCAAGGATTTCCCCTTCCCTGCCCCATTTTTCATCATTCTGCTCCCTGGTTTTTGTAGCAAATGGTTTTCCCAGCCCAGCAGGTTTTGTCCCACCCTTGGCTCTTTCCCATCTACTGGAATATCTGTCATTGGCTGCTGCTGCTGCTTCTGAAGTGTCACTTGCTGTTGCTGCTCACCCTTGGATACATCCCAGAGCAACAGCTGTACTGTTTGCATTTCAGAGGTTGTTTGAAGCCATGTGCGTTAAAAAACCATAAATTTTACAAAATGAGAGCGTAGTCCTCTAGAAGATGCAGTGGTGGTGCCCGTGTGAGCACAGGGTGCAGGGGCCAGGCCAGGTGACACAGGGGTCTCACACACACCTTCTCTGGTTTTTGCAGTGGCTACAGCAGGTACAGAAGGACCAAGAAGGTGCCGAGCTCCAAGGCTGCAGCTTCCTCCGGTGCCAGCTCCGTGTCCTACAGCTTTGGTGGCACACAGGGAGCTGCTGGGAAGCTGGCCATGATGGCACTGCCCAAACCCAAATCCAGGAGCTTCCTTCAGCCTTCATATTCCGTATTTTAACTGAGAAACTCCATTACCAGATGAATTTCCCCAAGACGGAATCATTGTTTATTAAATTTTTGTTTCATTTGCTGCTGCTAAACCTTCTGGGACTTGTGTGTTTGTCAGTACAAAAGCTCACATTAAATAAATATTTTTTAATTTGTCAGTTTGTTTGCGCCTTTCTACGTGTGAGTGGTTCTAGAAACTGTCCCGTTGGTGACACTCCTCCCTGTGATCCTGCTTTACTGCTCCCTCAGGGACACGATCAGGACCACAGATGCTGGGGAATGTGCGTCCCCAAAGCTGTGGCTCCTCTGTCCTTGCTGCAGAGCTGGGCTGCTCCTCTGGAAAGCGCAGGGTGGGAAGGAAAAAGGTAAGCAGTGTTTTTACTTTCCCATTTGACTCCCCACATCCTGGCACTGGGAGTGCCTAACCCTGCCCTGGGTGTGGTTTTTCTTTCAGTTAGCCGGTTTTTTTTCTTTTTAAACCGTGATCTTGTCAGTGCCATGGCACAGGGTGTGGGAGCTGCCCTTGGACCGTTCTGTGCTGCCGGCCCAGCCATGGCGGGCCCGCTGTGGCCTGAGGGGCGGCTGTGCCCTCCTGGCTATGCCCTCATGGCTATGAGGAGCGGCTGTGCCCTCAGGCTGTGTCCTCCCGGCTGTGAGGGGCGGCTGTGCCCTCGGGACTGTGAGGGGCTGTTGTGCCCTCAGTCAGGGCTGTGCCCTCATGGCTGTGAGGGGCGGCTGTGCCCTNGCTGTGAGGGGCGGCTGTGCCCTCGGGACTGTGAGGGGCTGTTGTGCCCTCAGTCAGGGCTGTGCCCTCATGGCTGTGAGGGGCGGCTGTGCCCTAAGGGCTCTGCCCTCAGTCAGGGCTCTGAGGGGCGGCTGTGCCCTCCTGGCTGTGTCCTCCTGGCTATGCCCTCATGGCTATGAGGAGCGGCTGTGCCCTCAGGCTGTGTCCTCCCGGCTGTGAGGGGCGGCTGTGCCCTCAGTCCGGGCTCTGAGGGGCGGCTGTGCCCTCCCAGCTGTGCCCTCAGGGCCGTGCCCGCACCACCGGGCAGGCCACACGGGCTCTTCCTTCCCCCCTCTTGTCCGGAGCCGAGCATTTCAGCCGCTATTTCTGGGCAAAGAGTCCTCATGCTTGGGGCTGGGAGGGACCTTAAACTTCATCCCGTTCCACCCCCTGCCATAGCAGGGACACCTTCCACTGTCCCAGGCTGCTCCAAGCCCCAATGTCCAGCCTGGCCTTGCGCACTGCCAGGGATCCAGGGGCATCCACAGCTGCCCTGGGCACCTTGTGCCAGAGCCTCATCCGCTCAGGGAGGGATTTCTGGGCCCTTTCGCGGTTACCCTGCCCCGCGGCGGCGAGGGGCCGGGCGGAGCGGCGGCCGGGCCGCCCCCCTGTGCGGGCGGGAAGCGCCGCTCCGCCCCGCGCGCGCCATGGCGCTGTCCCAGCCCGGGCCGCGGGAGCCCGAGGAGCCGTCACCGCACACCCGGCAGCAGCTGCAGGTCCGGGGTCGCGGGGACCACCGGGGCCGGGGGAGACGGGGATTGAGATGGGAGGGGACCCGAGAGGAGCTGGGCTCTGAGGGGAGAAACCGGGGGAGGTGAGGAGCGGGGCGGGCTGGGTTCAGGGCCCGGCAGTGCCGGCTGTCCCGCCGCGGGTCCCCGCTGACTGCCGTTCTCGCCCGCAGGAATGTCCCCCGTCGGACCTCGCCGAGCCCCCTTCTGCCCCTGAGGAGTGCTCCCCGTCAGGCCCCGCCGAGCCCCGCTCTGCCCCGCAGGAGCTCCCCCATTCAGGCCCCGCCGAGCCCCGTTCTCCCCAGCAGGAGTTCTCCGCCGAGCCCCGTTCTCCCCCTGAGGAGTTGTCCCCGTCAGGCCCCGCAGAGCCCCGCTCTGCCCCGCAGGAGTTCCCCGCCGAGCCTCGTTCTCCCCCTGAGGAGTGCCCCCCGTCGGATCCCGCTAACCGCCGTTCTCCCCCTGAGGCGTGCTCCCCGTTAGGCCCAGCCGAGCCCCGTTCTACCCCGCAGGAATTGTCCCCGTTAGGCCCCGCAGAGCCCCGCTCTGCCCCGCAGGAGTTGTCCCCGTTAGGCCCCGCAGAGCCCCGCTCTGCCCCGCAGGAGTTGTCCCCGTTAGGCCCCGCAGAGCCCCGCTCTCCCCCGCAGGAGTTGTCCCCGTTAGGCCCCTCAGAGCCCCGCTCTCCCCCGCAGGAGTTGTCCCCGTTAGGCCCCGCAGAGCTCTGCTCTGCCCCGCAGGAATTGTCCCCGTTAGGCCCCGCAGAGCCCTGTTCTCCCCCGCAGGAGTTGTCCCCGTCAGGCTCCGCCGAGCGCCAGCCGAGCGCGTTGCCGGGGCCGGGCCGGCAGCTGCGGGTGCTGCTGACGCCGCTGCCGGTGGCGGCCTGGCCGCGGGCCCAGAAGCGGTTGCTGAGTGCCCGCTCCCCGGCCGGCAAGAGGCCGTGCCCGGAGCCCGACAGCGGCCCCAGAGCGACCCCCGGCTCCGCGGCCGGCCCCAGCTCTGGTGCCCGCAGCCAGGACGGGCTGTGGGATGCGGACAGCGATGGCAGCGACGGCGGAGACGCGGTTCCGGTGAGTACCCGGCCCCGGTTATCACTTGAGCTTTTAAGTGCTTTTCTTCTGTACGTAGGTTTTTTCCCTTCTTTTTTAACCTCTGGCTAGCAGTGTCCCACTTCATTATACCCTTTCACTGAAATTTTAAGTTCTTTATTGAGTCTCTTCACTATTGTTTTCATTATTAAAAATTTTGATGCAGTTCTCTTCATACAGTTAATGCCAGAGTAAGTTTTGTAAAGCAGGCTGGACCTGTATGGAGTTTTTGGTGTTGATCCATGACCACTGCAATTTGTATGGTCTTGTATTTGTTACAAATACAGCAGACCACATAAAAATAATTTAATCAGTTTAGAGACTCACTTCCCTGAGCCTAGGAGCTCTCTTGCAGCCATGTACCTGTAGGATGGAAAGTAACTGGCTTTTCTTTCTGTAGGATGGACACTCCCACCTATCAGCCTATGAAAGGAAAAGACTAAAGAACATTACAGAAAATGCTAAATTCTTCGCTGCTCTAAAGCTGCATGAGGTTTGTAGAAGGTCTAAATAGCACCAAAATGCTCTTTCCAAGTGTCATAATTGCACTGTCATCCCTCCTGGTGTGAAACACTTTCCTCACTGGGGCAGCTGGATATGAGGAAGGCCTTGAATATCACAGGATCCTGGAATGTGTGGAAAGAACCTCAAAGCCCTTCTCATTCCACCTTCCACAGACCAGGGTGCTCCAAGCCCCATCCAGCCTGGCCTGGAGCACTTGCAGGGATGGGGCAACCACAGTTTCTTTCTTCTTGTTGTAAATAATTGCAGTAAGTTCATTTGCTGCATTGACATAATTGTATTTTATACAGGTTAATTCTTTATGCTCATTATCTGTAATTAATCTCTTTTTCTCTTTAAGTCGGCTGCAAGGCTTAACCAACTTACAACAAAAAGGCGATCTCACATCACTAAAAGGTAAGATGACAATAGGTGAGATTTATATCCTCGATTCTTCATTGTGGGATGACAACAAGTGTTGGGAAAAGGTGGGGGGAAAAAAGAGAGGGCGTGACCAAGGTGTGCAAGGGAGAGGGTAACCAGTGAACGTGGAGGAGAAAGCCTTGGCCTTGCCAACACAGTGCCAGGCTGAGCAGAAAATAGAAAGTGTGTGATGGGAGAGTGAGTGGCTGGATGGGTAATGAACGAGGAGAGCTGGGAAGGGAAGCAGAGGGGTGGCACCTGTGCGTGCATTGCAAAGTGCTCGTGGTTTTGTTGCTCAAGGGAAAAGCAGCCCATTCCTCCTGCAGGGCCAGGAGGGGCTGGTGGCAGTCTGTGCCCTCGGGGCTGTCACTAAGCAGGGACTCTGCTGTGAGCTGACGTGTTGTCACTTTGCAGAGCCAAGCCCAAGAAGGTGGAGGATGAGCCAGCCCGGCGCCGATCCATGCGCCTGCTCCGGGTGGAGCCGCTGGACGTTCCCTTGCTGGAGACGCTTGCCCGGCCAGCAGCAGAGGAATATGTGAGATGGGAGGGAGTGCACAGCAGCTTTCTGAAACCACTGCTGTGACACTGATGGGGGCACTGGGCACTGCAGACCCTGAGGCATTTGGGAGCTGGGGACACGGGGGCAGTGAGGAAGGGTCACTTCTGTCACCCCGAGTCTCACCCCAAGCCAGGCAGTGCTCTGTGGCCCAGGCTGATGACAGGGTGCACTTGGGGATCCACAGAAGGCTCCTGAGGTCAGGCATCCCACACCAACAGCCCATGGAGCTGAGCAGCCTTAAATCCAAAGGTTTTTTACTTTGGTTTTTATTTCGCTGTAACTTCTGAGCTGGTTTTATTTGCCTGGGTAATATGCTCCATCTTTTTGAAGCAGTGATGGGGCAACAAGTAAAAGCTATGTTGTTCTGAGAGATGGGAATTTAAATCTTCCATAGAGCTGTAGAATAGATTGGAATCTGTAATAGAGGTCTTGCTGGAGTATCAGGAGAGGAAGAAACCCAGAGAGGCACTTTGTCTGTGCTGCCAGTGAAATTCTCTTGATCTTTTTAATAAGGTTATGATACCACCTTCTGTTTTTACTGTTTATTTCCTGTCCTGTTGTAGGCGTGTTCTCAGAATGTCTGCTGTGGGGAAAATGCCAACTCGCATTGTTTGTGGTTTTAGTTGGTTTGAGTTACAAAAATTGCCAATGTCCTCCCAGCCCCAGGTTCCAGCTGGACCTTTGCCCATGGTTCCAGAGGATCAGGCAGAGAACAGTAAATGGACAGAGGCCTTACTGAGCACATGGATGAGGATAAGTGAGGTATCATTAGTCTAATTAGTCATTTTTGGATAATGTCATTTCACCTGGGCTCTGATTTTGATTAAATATCTCCTTTCTGTCTGTAGCTGAACACAGAGCATGCTGACCAGGGCACACCTGACATAAAGAGGTAATGTGGAAACAGCAGCCAAAACTGGGGGTGTCTGGCCC